AGTGCTGTTAATTAGGCAACAAGAGAAAATTATGCAGGTGTTAGAGGCAACCTAAAGGAGCTTTTTTTTTCCAACTTAAATATTTTCCTTACAGCTTAGCCATTTGGCTTGGTTGTTTCCATGATCCAGAAGCTTTGCTGTGGGTGCTGAGGGTATGATGTGGAGGCTATGACTGATTTGGTCACTTGAGGGCTGTCGTCACCCTTGGGTCAACAAAACAGTTCAGAAGCATTTTCTGAGGGTGAGCTGGTGGTGAATGGGGTGAAAATCATCCACCCAGAAGGTCAAGAGGGTGGCTCATGCTCAGCAGCATCTCTCCAGAAGCAGCGTGTACGAGTGCTCGGCCTCCTAACTGCATGAGGCTGACACCGCTGGTGGGCCCGTGGAAACAGGCCCGTGCCTCAGGGCCTGGTCCTGCTGCCTGGTGGACACCCAGCTCTGGCTGGATCCTCTGAGGAGCAGGACAGACATCCAGCATCCAGGGGGAAACAGCCAGCCTGGCTTCATGGCTGCGTCTTCATGGCTGGCTGATCTGAGGAGCAGGCCAGAGGCTGGGGTCGCTGGCCCACCGCCTGGTCTCTCTGAGGCCTCTGGAGTCCTACCGCACCTTGTGGGGGTGGCACCAAGGTTTTCCCGAGCCACCCCAATGTCTGCTCTCTGTGTCTGGGTGTTGGATGGATGAAGGCTGCTTAATGCCACCGTGTGAAAGCCTAATGCTTTCCTTGTGCCGTCGCTGCTTGGCCTGGCGAGCTTATTTCCTGAGGTACTTTTACAGCAGTGATGAGGCTGTGCGTAAACGGCTGCTGGGCTTTCTCTTAGAGGTGAAATAACAAAGCTACCGACCAAGAAAGAACTTGATGGGGAGAGAAATGATTGATCTTTAATAATATTTAATTGTTTCTACGTGGTATTTCCCTGCTTGTTCCTGGAGCTCAGCCACAGGCTCTCCAGCACGCACAGCTGTCCAAAGACAACTGATAAAGAAAACCAGGTGGAGATATTTTTTTATTATTATTATTTTTTCCCCTTCCTTTGTCTTGTTTTTTTTTTTTTGAGCAGCACGGCAAGGTGACCTGGCACTTCGCTGCAGGTGGCTGTGCGCCCGGGCAGCCTGTGGGCGCCAAGCTCTGTGCCTCAGGTATCGCTTCCTGAAATCAGCAGCGGCTTCCTTTGTTTTCTCTCTCTCTGTTGCAGCCGCTTATAACTGCTGCAGCAAAACGGGCATCTGGCACAGGGCTGGCGAGGCTTCGGTGTGCCTGCTAGGGTTTGTGTGGAGCAGCAGGCCCTGAGCACGGTTTTCCAGATGTTTCCATACTCAGACTTGAATGTGTTCTCAGAAATGCAGACAAACACACGCTTATCTCTCTGCTGGCACTTTGGAGATGTATGTCCAAAGGCATCAGACGAGAGCTGCTGTAGGTTCCTCGTCTGCCTTTGAGGTGAAGCCGCCTCTGCTGCTGGGGTTCTCCTGTAAGGCAGCACTAGCGCAGCAGTCGATGGCTGTGTTCTGCTATTTATGCATGGGGAAAGACGTTTTCTGTCACAACATAACTGTGAATCTCCTTCCGAGAAGCCAGTGAAGCAAATCCTACGCAAACAGTGTTTCCTGTTATTTTTGACATTCCACGTTTCAGTGTTTTTAAGGTAGAAGCAATGCATTTCTGCAAGGCCTTCACAAGCACAGGGCAGCTCCTACCAGGGCTGGTGTTTCCCCGTGTGTTCCTGTGCATGGAGTTAGGAGCGAAGCTGAGGTGCAGGGTAGGCTGCAGTGGTGAGACAGCCCCCTCTGCCTGCTGCGAGGCAGCGGCAGCCCCGAGGAGCCTCTGCGCCTCCTTGCACAAGTGCTGCTGCCTCCAGCTCCTCGCAGAGCTTCCAGGGGGCTGAAGGGACTCCAGAGCTGAGCAACGCATTGCTTCAGTGCCATACATACTCTTTTTGTAGTGTCCGTGTATGCGTAGCAGGCAATCATCGAATTAAGAGGCCACCTGTGGTTTAAGGAGATTATTCAACCTGGATACCTTCCATCTCCCCTCCTATGGGAATGGGAAGGCCTAAGAGGAAAGGATATCATCTACAGCAAGCTGTGAAGGGCATCTGATGTGGATTATTGGCCGCAGTGCATGGAAAAGGGGTTGAGAGGTCCCCAGAGCCATGGGACCTGGTGTAGGCTGCATTGAATTTCCCCGCTGCCCTGTAATTATGGATCTGCATCAGCTCTGTGATGTGACACCGCTAACGTGAGCCCAAATCTACGTAAATGATCCAATGTCCTGGTTAGGTGCAGGGGGAGGGAGGCAGAGAATAAATGTTTTGGGTGTCTTTAGGAGCAGCTTTGGAAATAGAAAGTTCTCTGCTCTCACCGAGCAGAACAGGAGTTAAAATTCAAATCTGCTTAATAATAAAAATGATTAATACTGAGACATCATTCTAGTGCCTTGTGATAGAAAAAAATAATTAGCTTATAGCAAACAAATGGAAGATCATGGATGATTAAAATTATAATTAAAGCATGAGACTGACACGAGCATCACAGACATCTCTGCAGACTATTTGAACAGTACATTAAACAAAGTCAATCATTCCTTCATAATAATGGCATTTACAGTAACACAATGGGAATGCAAGGCACTTCCATGCAGACAGGCTTGTCTCTTAAAGTATATTTTCAGCATTAACACCCAGAAAGTAAAGATCTGGTCTGTGCTGAAAAAATGGCCATTGCTACAGTTCAATTTTTCAGTTTCCAGGCTTTTAGTATAATAAGCAGCAGCAAAGAAACTGAAAATGAGGGAAGTCATTGAACAATTGTTTAAAGAGAGGATTTGCTATAGAGAGTTTGAGGCAGGAGGATTTTGATTATGTTACTGTACCAGATAAAATGAAGCCGGGGGGAACGGTGATAATAAACTTCTATAATCCACCAAAAAAAAAAAAAATAAAGATAAGGTGTTGGAATATTAATTGCAAATTCAGGCAAAGTTTTCCTATTTGTGGTCATTATGAGTTGCATTCTTTGGATCTAATTGAAGCAAAAATATATGACAAGATATAGCTGTTCCAGTGCACAGCAGGAGAGGAAAAACCTGAGGATTTCCCTTGCTCTCAAGGGCTAAACTCCCTTCTGATGGGATGACTATTTTTTTTGAGAAATAAGAGGCTTTGCAATAGGGTTACAGACGTGCTGGTAGTCCCAGGAACTTTAAAAGATACTTGGAAAGAACAAGGAGTGCCCTGCCACGCTCTGTGAGATGGTGTGGTGACAACCAGGTGCTTTATTTCCATTTTCTCTTTTAAGGATAAACAGGGGATGCTTAAAGATAGGAAAACTGAGAGGAGATAAACTGATCAAAGCAATGTTTGGAATTTGTGTAAAGCCTTGCTGCAAAATGCCACTGTATCAAAGAGATCCATACCGTGCAGGAGAGATTTACAAGGGAAGCTCTTAGCCCATGTGATTGAGCTGTATCAACCCCGTGGCACGACTGCCTCCTCTCCAGTAGGTTTAGGAATTGCATTTTCAGTTTGGTGTTTCTCTGGAATAGCACATTGCTTTGGGTTGCTTGTTTTGTTCCAAGCACTTGGTGCCGTTTCCTTACAATTTTGGCACATTGGTCGTGCTTTGCTCTCCTCTGAGAGCCTCCTCTGAGCAGCAGCTTCTAAAATAAGTACCAGTGCCCTCTGAGGCTGATTTGGACAGAGGGAACCACAGGTACTTCGATGCCCTTGGAAACCTGAGCTGCTGAATTTGGGGCGTATGAAGTACTGCTTTGGGCCAGGCTCTGATTTTCGTTACACCAGTGGCACGTTGAGATGGTGGCCCAAGCTACGGCAGCAGGAACAGCCCAGGAGCTGGTGACATCTTGGCCACATCTCCAGGCACATTGATCAGAAAATGTTAAAAAAAAAAAAAACACAACTAATAGGCCCTTTGCCTTGCATGCAAAGTTATCCAAAAAATCCTGAGCAACACAGGAGGTACACTTAGGAATGCTGGTACCTCCAGTGACTGTTTTGCTTGTACCTTCAGATGGCAATGCTGCCTTGGGAGGGGAAAAAAGAAAAAAAAGACTGTGGAATCCAGTTGTTTTTGATGTCCTTGAAATCTTCTATTTGGAAGTTTTAAAGGCTAAAGCAATGGAAAAAAAATAGATATGGTGCTATACACAGAAAATGGGGAAGAGAGCGTAAGAGTGCTGCTTGAAGAGAGTTGTTCTCTGTAGAATAGCAGTGAAAGAAAATAGAAGCAGGAGGAATCTGCAATTAAGATAGCGTAAGGAAGCAAATATTTGAGGAACCAGTAAATCAATGAGATAAGGGCAGAATAAATGTAATTCAAAGCCCGGTGTCTTGTTGTAGTGTGTTGCAAACATCAGAGTGCAGGGCTGCATTTGATGATGGACAATGCAGTGTGAAGCTGGAAAGAGGCAGTAGCTTTCTTTAAAGCTCACCGAAAGATAAATAAATCACAGAGGTTATTGTATCATTCTGTCAGCGGGGTTTTTAATAAGTTGGCACAATTATTTTAAGGCGTGAGCAAACTCTAAGAAATAGCTGCCCCCAAGGGCTGTTCTTTTCTCAAAAAACGTATTGGTGGCGAAAGTCGAATAGAGCCATAAATATAATAGGATGGGAAACTATGTGCTGAGGAAAAGGAGTTTGGGATTCTGTTCGAAGGGCCCTGTGCAGAGAAGCAGGTCCCCAGGGAAGACTTTCACGGAGGCAGAAATCCCAGGGCGACGCATGGCAGTGACAATGGAGTGCGTGGCACGAAGCCGTGCCTCGGGAAATTTCTGCCAAACACCTGAGTTTCACGGTGTTAGAAACAGGCTGAGGGCAGTCTCTGTGGGTGATCAGTGCTGGGATGCGAGGTGCTAAGTCCCACTTCCATACCTGAGAGTAAGCTGAGAAAGCTTTCACGGGTGAGCATTTAATGCTCATCGTGCCACTGCAACCTGCTGCTGCGTCTGGGGTGAATAAAGGCTCTGTCACTTCATTTTCAGGCCAATTCTGGTGATTCAGAAGAGGTTTTCCCAAATGCTAACTCACTGAATAAGGACTGGAGGATTGGAAGCATCGAGAGCATCCCTACCAGAAATGTGAGTACCAAGGAAGGGGTTTTAAAGTAGTTTGGTGAAGGAAAAAGAGCATTTATTTCTTCTAGGGAAAGTAAATACAAAGCAGTGTCCAAAGTAAAGATATATAAATGTCTGGAAGGCCAAGCTGTCACTCCTAGATTTGAAAGGAACGGGTAAGTGAAGAGTAAATTAAATGTACAGCTTAAAATAATGCGAGGGATGGAGGAGCATGCCAAGTGAGTGCAGTCTAGTTCTGTGCTGCAGAGGGCACTCCATGTACCTTCTTCACAGGGCACACACGAGTAAGTAACGAGTAACACGAGTAACTAGAGTGAGCTATTGTGGATATCACAAATAAAAACACCCTTTTCAGCTCTTGTTTTTCTGTTTTTTGGAAAAGAAACCTGTGCTTACACTGACACTGTCCTGTTGGTGCTGCATGCAGCCACCGATGGTCTTAGAGGGGACATAGTGAAGATATTGTTGACATCTATGAAATGTCAAGTCCATAGTAACGCTGAAATATAATAGACATTGAAATATAACACTGAAATATAATGTAATAGGTCAGCAAGACCACTTTTTTTGGGGAAAACCAGTCCTTTTCTGATCAGAAGCCGTGTCCTCCAGCACTCATTTTGAACACATCACCTGCTCAGCAGCTTTGTGTTTGTGTTACAACAGGGATAGGAAGCTCAGGAGAAACTCTGGGTGCTGTGTGTCACTGGTGTCGCCTGGGAAACGTTCAGTGGTGATGAGACACTGCAAACTTGTGCTTGCGAGCTGATTTCAGCTAACCTCTGTGAGCTCTTGTCTGGAAGAAAGAGGCTTTGTGATGGGGGCCGTGGTGTTTCCTGATGAAGCCAGGAGCACCACGGCACGGGGTCAGAGTCATCCAGGTGACTGCAGGGCTCAAGATGTTCTGACAAGCAGCACTGACCTAGAAACACATTTCTGTTATCCCACTGCTTGTCTGTGCTGTTTGCGAGATGCGATCAATACACGGTCTGCCAACAAACCGCACTCCAGCGCTCTGCAGGCTTCCTGCACCGGAGACTGTGTGCGTGCTTGATGCTAGAGGGATCCTCTCAGATGAGGACAGATCTTTCTTGCTTTACTATTATAATTTAAGATTTATTGGAGGCGTAAATATTTTTAAGTTGTTTGTGTTTTGTTCTTTTTTCACCCTATATGTGGTAGTGAATGTCTCTGGATTTATTTCTCTTTCCAGCCCACAAAGAGAGTATGACCAGTTTTTTTTTTGTTTTGTTTTGTTTTTTTTTTTTTTGTATTTTGCATGCCTATACTTTGAAGGCACAGCAATATGTGTACATTAAGAATGCTCCTTGTAATATGTCTGAGTCCATCAATACAAGTGTAAACGCGAATCCCAGCTGCTGTTACAGATGCCCTGTTAGCCATGCTCTTTCCCCCAGTGCTGTTGCATGACTTTGGTGTTCCTCTCTTCTTGAGGCTTGGATACAACTAACAATTTCATCGATCCTGCTGTCAAATGTCTTGCTTCAGGTGTTGAACAATTGGGTCCAGATCTCCAAAATCTGGCCACGTGCGTTTTCTGAGACAGATGCATCCTTTTTACTCGTTGATCCTGCTAGCACATATCAAATTGTTCTTGTTAGTGAGACAGTTTCTTCATTTAAATACTACTTTTAAAGTTGCCGTCATCCCTAAATAATAAATCTGTGGTAATGCTGGGTTGTGCGAATGCCTAGGTGTTACAGAAGAAAGAAATGACCACCTAAGTAACTGCAGAGCAGAAGATACAACGTGTTTATAAGCTGAAAGAAGCCAGAGGCCATAATGTCTGCAGAAGAGGACAGTTTTAGCTGAGTTGATGCCCTGAACATGAGTGGTTCACTCATTTGTTCAAACGCTTCAGCTTCCTACCACTGGCCTGCTATATTTTCAGCTAAGGCATTCCCAATCTGCAGATGTAGCAGTAAGCAAACTTGCAGCAGCGTGAGAAATGACATTTCAACGAAAGCCATCCAGTCCTGTGATTTTATCAGCTTGTTCTGGGTGCTCTTTTCACACCCCAGCTCCATCACTACTTCATTCTGCTTCTCCTGCAGCAGGACAGCCGTGGTGATACGCCTTGGCTGCCTCTCGGTTCTTTTACACCTCCTACTTGCTCTGTTGTCTGCCCTTCTGTGATTAGGTTCCCTGCAAATGCCTTTGTGGACTTCCTGCTTTTAATGTTTTAAGACAAATTGATTTGTTGCTGTTTCATTAACCGTTAGCTCTTAAAGTTCGTTTTCATCCACTCCAGCTCTTACCCGGGCATGTTTTCTCTGTTTGTTTTGCCTGGGCTGTGCTCTCTCTTCCTGAATCATTGGTATAAAGTTCAGTCCCACGTGTGAACTTTGCCATCTGACCACAACGCTCCTCTCTCTGTTGCCTCCTGCTCCTGTCCAGACACCTGCTTCTCTCTCTCTTTTTTTTTTTGGTACAGAAATGTGATCAGCTTTAAGGCTTGTTATAATTTCTTACGCGACCCCTGTACTGAGCGTAAGGACTGTAGTTGTTTCATGGACACCACTAAGAACTCTCCTCCAAACCCCTAGAAACTCAGCTCCTCAGGTCTTGCCCATTCCTCCAATCCTTACTGAAGTAAGAGGCACAGTTTTGTGTCCAAAACTGAGCTAATTCCTCCCTGAAGATAGAGAAATGTAATGATACCTCAGTGAGTGTAATCAGGTGCTCAGCAGTGGGTTCTCCATCAGCCCACTTCCACCTCCCAGGCTGGAAGCCCTCTGAGATCTGGGGCTTGGAAGAACCCAGGGAGACAAAAAGCCATCGTTCCTCTTCCCACTGTATTTGATGTGGATAAAATAAACTGATTTGTCATCGCTGAGGTAAAGGCATCAGCTGACTGGAGGCTGGGGCTCGAGCTTTGTGTGCTTAACTGATAACAGGGCTACGTCAACACACGACAGCTGTTTTGGTAAAGGTGCCTCCTGTTTCATCAAGAGTTACACAAAAAATGATTTTGTCCCTAGGTGGCTTTAGCTGGGGGTGTTTTGGTAATGCACAGAGCACCAGCTTATTAAAATGGTAGAAGCAGACAGAAATAGTAATGATGGAAGGGACTCTTGATTCAGGAGGATATTGCTTGCCTTACATCATCGGCGTTTGTGTCAATGCCGTATTAGCAGTGATCGCATTTCTCATTGTCTGCTGCAATGTAACCAAGTCCTCGGGTAGAAAACTTCATTAATCAGGGAGGTGTGCTCTCCGCGGCTGTGTCGCTGGGAAGATAAATCACCTGGCTCTCTGCAGATCTGCTGAGGGAGAGGAGGACATGCACTGGGTTTAGATGGAGAAAGGATAAGCAACATCTACCGGGAGGGGCTCCAAGTTCCTCTGCCTCGTGTCCCTCACCCGAAATTCAGGCAGCAGTACTGGCATCCCAGAGGGAGCACAGCACGAGGAGTGCCACGCTGGGGACAGGGTTTTCCAGAGCACCCAGGTTTTGGATGGTCACCCAAGGGATTGCTTTGACAGCAAAGTGACCCCTCCGGCTGCGGTGCCAGCGTTGCCACCTCCCGATGGGTGCCTCGGTGGGACACACGCCGGGCGCTCTCCCTGTGCACACCGGGGTAGGGCTCTGCTCGGCGAGACACTTCAGCAGCCCCTGGTTGTCCGTGGCAACCCGCAGGCATGGAAATCTCCGCTGGCAGGCACGGCTGGGTCTAAAAATGCTGCTGCTGGAGGCCGCGGGGAGACGGCTCTCTGCTCTGTCCCTGCTGCTGCCCTCCCTGCTGCTCCCAGCAGCGCTCTTGGCTTGGGCGGAGTGTTTTTGACCTGCCTGTATTTAATGTAAACCCAGATTGCTTTCGGCATCTGTGGAATCCTAGGAAAACTAAAACAGCCGAGCGCGATGCGGGGCGAGGGGATTTATGGGCCCGGGAGGTCAGGCTGCAGTTTACATTCGCTGCTGGCGGTGCCGGGGGGTCGCCAGCACAGGCACGGCACGTGGGTTTCCCTTCTGACTGCGGGATAAACACGCTGTGGGGCAGCTACGAAAGGAATTGCTGTACCAGGAGGGAAGGTTTTCCTTCTGCCAGGGAAGCTGAGGGCAGGTGCCTCCTCCAGCCGGGAGCTCGGCGGCTCAGCCAGGATCCGCCAGGCCTGGGTGCAGCGAGGAGGCTTCGGGAGGCAGCAGGGCACACCTCAGCCTTTGCCAACAGCGGCTTTTCTCACAAACTGGCTGTGAGAATGAAAGGTATTGAATTTCAGGCTGCACAAATTAATGTCAGAAAGCCCAGCGAAGGCAGGGGTGGTCGCAACGTGTGCCTTTCACGTGGCATCTGGTGATGCCTGGGCTCAGACTCATTCAGGGGATTATTGGAGTGTGCGATTGTGGCTTTCCCATCTCTTCATGCTGTATCACGGCAACTGAAGCTCGGTCAGACGAGACTGATGACTAAATAACCGTGTGGATAATGAAGAGGGTGGCGTGCCTCCTGATGACCCTACAGAATGGGAGACTTTCCACAGACACGTGCAGGGGCCTGTAAGGACCTTCCCAGTCGGTCTCCATGGGTGAGAGCACACGGGAGAGGTGGCCTGACTTTACCCAGAGCTGTACAATGCTTTGAAGATACCACAGGAGAATACTTTGCATCAGGGAGTGAAGCATATTCCCGCTGCTCTGGTGGTGAAATCTTTTTCCTGGTTTGCTATTTGCTTCTTTTGGGAAGAAGCAGCAAGCACTGCGATACAATGGGGGAACTGCAGGTTTCACTCCCCAGCCTAACGTGTCCCACGCTGAGAAGGCACTCGCTTTTCTTACTGCCTTAATATCTCCCCACCTGTTAACCAAGAATAATATTCAGCAACCTGCAACCATTTCAAGAGGTTAAATTGATATTTTATTGATACCATGCCTGGATTGTGCCCAGTGGGAGATGCTACGTAGCTATAAAATATGATTAATTTCGTCAGTATTGTGAGATGAGTAAACTGTTCTTCTAGGATTTCATTTTAGTTTACCCAATATGTTAACAATACACGAGACAGTAGTCTTAGCACGCAGGAATGAAGATGACACTCAAAAGAAAAATAATGTGTGGAGCAAACCTGTACTGTAACTTACTGCAACAACGCTTGGTGCAGGACAAATCAGAGAACCCAGCAGGAGGAAAGCCACTGCTGTAGGAGTAAGAGAAAATGTTGGCAATAAACGTGTATTGGCTTTAATCTTTCACGCTGAAGCCAGAGTATAGAAGCAAGACAAAGAGATGAAAGATTCTGATTACCCTAAAGCCTTCTTTGTCTGAAACAAACCAGCACGGCAAGAACCCTGCTCTGTGTTCACGGTCACCTGCCCAGCAAAAGCTCGGCCAGTTAACCATCTCCTGGAGCCTTCTACAAGTTGCCTTCATGCGTTGCTGCTTTAGGAGCATCCCCTTCTTTCGCTGTGGGCATTGCCATTACTTCAGCCTGGGACTCAAGGTGCTGGACACAGGTGGAAGCCAATATCTGCATACATTAGAGGTGACTTACTTAAAACAGTTGGACTCAAGTTCTTCCTTTATACTTACAAAAAAAAAAAAAAAAAAAAAGCTTGAAACATCTTAATACAAAATATGTGTGTGTACATTAAGATTTCAGTATTATGTATGAAAAATCTAGCTTGAGTGGAGAACTTAATGAAGCTATGGCACTGCTAGATAATGTAATTGAAAACTGATCAACCTTGAGAAATTTTTAGTCCCCCAGCTACATTTGAATTTTAAGCTTAATTTCAATAATTAATTACCTTTTTTTTTTTTCTGAAAAAAAAAGCTTTTTTTTAAGCTTTTTTTCAGAAAAAAAAAAAGTATTTTATTGTCTTCTGCAATACCACCATGCAGTAAATGTGAAACTCTCAGAAATGTTTAACTACAACCTCAGCAGGAAGAAGTGTCCTTGGCACCAGTGTCTTTGTGGTTACAAAGAGAAAAAATGAGTCCACAGATTAATCAAATTTTTAGTTCTCCTTTATATAATCAAAAGCACCAGGAAGGGAACGGTGTGACTTGCTGCACAACACACAGACAGTAGCTGCTATTTTAATGTCACTCACTTCTGTTACTGGTTGAGGAGACGCAGCAGAAGAGAAGCGATCGCTGTTTCATGGAAAGAGGTTTTACAAAACCAGAAATGCTCCAAATTGGTAAATCCATTGCCACACAAGCCATGACGATGTTGGATGCCTTGGGATTTGCCCACCAGCAAGGAATCGAGCTCCTCTTTCCTAAAGTGAAGCTGCAGTCACTGAGACATCTGATGTGGCTTTTGAACCAAGCCTGGGCAAAAGCCACGTTGCCGATGAGGTGATGCCACCTCCAGCCGCGTTGCTGTGCCTGGAGGAGCTCCCAGGGACTGCAGCAAGACCTAAATCGGGCCTCTGAATGTTAACCTGCTGGTAGGCGTGCGGTGCCAGGGGGAAAGGAACCGGCTGCTTTGTGGCTGATGACATGAGGCTGCAATCTGGTGTCCTGCTGGGTTTCTGTGGCATCGCGTGGAGCCAGGGCCAGCAGCTCGGCTGCGTTACCCGCCCAAGCTGCAGTGAAATGGTTCCCCAAAACCTGTTATCGCTGTGAGTGAGGCTTTATTTATTTATTTTAATACCCTGTGTGAAGATATCCCGGACTGGCTTGGCTTGTTTCAAACGGGACCTTCCCAGAGGTGCTGAGCAGAGCTGACTGCTCACGGTACCCGTGCATTTCACGCAGACGGGTGGCTTTCAGGAGGAGCTGTTTCCTTCCTTACCCCCGCTGGGCAGGATTGTTGGTGCTACACGTGCTCATAAAACGGAGGGGGGAACGTAAGAGCTGCAGTACAAAACCCCTTTGAGCTGCCAGTGATGCTCGAAATGTGCTGCATTGGCAGGCCTGATGCCTGAGGCGAGCAAATGGGGAGGGGGAAATCACCATTAAAAAATATCCAAACCAAATTAAATCTTCAAAGCCTCCTTCCTGGACATAAAACCCTTGTTGTTTTTTTTTTGTTGTTGTTGTTTGTTTGTTTTATTTTATTTTATTTTATTTTATTTTATTTTATTTTATTTTATTTTATTTTATTTTATTTTATTTTATTTTATTTTATTTTATTTTATTTTATTTTATTTGTTTCTTTTGAAGGTCATCATTAGATGACCCACGTGCTTGGGTGGGTGGCTGTGACCGGTGTCCTTGTGGACACAGTGGGGTTATTCTGGCACGGCTGCAGTGTTAATCTCCCCCAGCTGCACTTTTTAAACCACTCAAGTAAAGACCCCTCAGATGGAAGGAGCAAGGCTGTGAGGTCTGTTTTTTGCTATAAGACTCACTGGAGATCCAAGAAACAGCAATTGTGAATGTTAGGGGGCTTTAAGCCCATAAATCTTTGGGACTTGTTGCTTACGGGTCTTTCAGATCTCCAGCTGAAAAGACAAGACTAGCTCCTACGCTCCCCGTCGCTATGGGGGAAATTTAAACCCATATTCCTCTGGGATGTCCTCAGGGAAATCATGACCCTGAAGGCCAAATACCGTGAGCTCAGGAGATACTGAAGGCACCCAGCTGCTGTTTCCCAGAGTCACCAAGACACCGGAGTCTGCTGCCAGCTTGTTAAATGGGCGTGCTTCAGGGAGCTGAAGTGTAATCAATGTTAAAAAAAAAAACAGCTGACTGAATCTGTAGCTTTACTTAGGAGCTTGTCAGAGGTAAGGTAATGGCCTAGTAAAACTTGGTGAAAGGTGGCGTTTTGGGGCCTCTGTATATTTTTAATCTCTACGTGCAATAAAGCACTAAGCATCACCTCTTGCTTTTGCTGGCAGATTTCTTGCAGGAAGACCTACTTGGGGACTCCAGTAGCTCTGAATACCAATCAACTGAAAGGAAGCGGGGGGTTTGGACCAATTTCTCTGCTGGCATAACTCCATTAAAGCCAGAGGGTGAAATCACAGTCCTGTTGAGATGCATGGGATTTTTGCCAGATACACGACTGCTGAGAACTCTTTTAATAACTCAACCCTGATTTTGCTTTGGACTGAAACCTCCCCGTGAATCTTAGCCTACAAACACTCCTATCTTGCACGCAGAAGAATGTTCTGCAGCAAGCAAATGAGCTTGGAAGAGGATTCAGCTTCATCACTGGAACCCTGCTGTAGAATTCATTGCAGGCAAAATTTGACTTGTGTGGGGATGGCACTGGCTGGGCGGCACACACATTCAAGACCCTCCGTGATGGAAAGGTTCCTGCTTTGGCTGCAGTCACATGCTTTACCAGATACCCCGTGAAGGGCACAAGCACAGTTTTGATGCTGCCTCTTTGGTGTGACCCACTTGTGCAGTCAGGGCTCACCAATATTTTTAAGACCAGCTTATTGCTGGATACTGACAATACATCTCTCTTGTCTCCCATCCCGTTGCATAGTGATGTCATGGCTTCCGGGCTTCTTTTTTGGCCAACTTGTTGTTCCTGAGTATTTGGGAGTCTTCTGGAGGGTCTTGTGCCTGAAGATACACCTCATCAGCACCTTCTGTGCTCATGCTGTTTGCGGAAGGCTGACGACATCTCCAGTAAGGAGGTCAGAAAGCTGGTGCTTCCACTGCCGGCAGATGCAACTAGGTAGCCTTATCGTCCTAAGGTTAAAAAAGAAGCAGGAAAAATGACGCTAGGAAAAAAAATATAAAAAAAATAAATATATATAATTCTGGTTTCTTTAAACATCATAAAGAAGCAGTGGTTTGCTTTGCAGGTCACCTTCATGGCAAATGGGAATCATTCAATCACCGCCAGATAATATCAAAGTCATTCTCAGGGGCTGGCAATTGGAATGACAATTGAAAAAAATATGAGTTAAGATTTTAAATGTCTCTTTGTGAGACAAACAGAGCAAAATCGTTCATCAGTGCAAGAACAGACACTGTAAATACTGCCTTAAAGTGGATCTGAAAGGAATGTGTATCTCCTTGGCAGATAAGAGGTGGCCAGTTCTGTCTTCCCAGCTTAGCCCCAGCCCCTTATGGATACAGAGCGAGTTTGTGCCCTTGTTTTCCTACTTCATGCACCAAGCTTAGCAGAGCTCTGGGTCTCTTTTGGCACTGGAGAAGCCAGATAGGAATTTTTTGGTTGAATCACAGAGTTATTGGAGTTGGCAGGGACCCCTCCCATCGCCCCGGCCAGCCCTCCTCGGGCAGGGTGAGCTGGAGCGGGTTGCCAAGGAGCATCTCCAGCTGAGCTTCGTGTTCCTCTGTGGATGGGCACTCAGCAACCCCTCTGGGCAACCCCACACAGTTTTGGGCAACCCTCAGCGTAAAAATGAATACCAAAACGATGTGTTTTGATGTCATGATGTATTTTGATTTTGGATTTTGAGGTAATGATGTGACTTGTATTTCGATGTCATGACGTGATTAGCGTTACAGTGTTACAACCAGACCTCCAAAGAGCCCAAAGCGTTTTATTTTTAAGCACCGCGCCCAGGACAATCCACCTCACGCCCCCCGCCGCCATCATGGCTCCCCCCCCTTCTCCTCCTCCCCCCCCCTCAGCAGCAAATGGCGGCGGCGCGGCCCAATGGCGCTGCTCCGCGTGCCTCGGACGGTTCCATCGCAATCCCCCCCCCTTCTCCTGCCTCCCCCCCCCCCGGCGCCTGGCGTGGTAGCGGCCGGGCGCTATAAAAGCGGGCGCGGAGCACATGCTCGCCTCAGTGCCGGCGGCAGCGGGCGGCGGGCGGGTGGCGCTGCCGCGTCTGGGGAGCAGAGGGGGCGGTGGGCGGCGGGGGAGCGGCCCCCGGTCAGCGAGCGGCCCTCGGTGCCCGTGTCCCCGTCCCCGTGTGAGGGCTGCCGGCGCCCCGACCCCCGCCCGGCCCTGCGCTGCCGCTGCCCCGCGGGATGCGGGCTCGGCCCGCCCCGCCGGCCCCGTCCCCCCCGCCGGCCGCAGCATGAGCGCGGCGAGCGACGCGTACCTCTTCATAAAAGACATAAAACCCGGACTGAAAAACCTAAATGTCGTCTTTATTGTGCTGGAGATCGGTAAGTGGCGCCCGGCACGCCGCCCCGCACACGCCCCGGGCTGCCCACGCGTGGCCCCGGGGGGGGCTGGGGGGGGCCCGGGGCCGTGTGTGGGAGCCGGGCCCCCCCCCTCCTACCCCTCAGGGCCGTGCCCGAGGCCCAGCCGTGGTGCCGGGGGGGCTGTGCAGCCTCCCAGCCCTGTTCCCAGCCCGGCTGTGCTTCCCCCCCGCAGGGCGAGTCACCAAGACGAAGGACGGGCACGAGGTGAGGTCGTGCAAGGTGGCCGACAAGACGGGCAGCATCACCATCTCCGTCTGGGACGAGATCGGCGGCCTCATCCAGCCTGGGGACATCATCCGCCTGACCAAAGGGTGCGTAGGGGCCTGGGGGGCCGCTGCCCGGCAGCACGGACCCCCCCCCGGGCCGTCACCCCCAGTCCTGGGGAGCTCTGTGGCACGCAAGCCAAGGTTTTGGGGTGGAAAGACACAGATGACACAGCTTGCCCTGCTTGGACCGGCTCCTTGCTCTGGAGGCAGCTCCCTGAGGTCACTTGGCAAATTCAAGCAGGCTCCTCCGCCCCAGAACGTGCCTCGTGCAAACGTGTGCTCTGGTGGGTGTGTAGGAAGGGCTTGTGCTTGTAATGGGGAGCTGGTGTTTCACAGGCTTAGTTTGGCTTTAAAAAAGCTCCTTAGGAGACGGCTCCCCTGTAGGAGGGGGGAATGTGCAACAGTCACTCCTCATCTGTAAATCAAGCAGGGCAGTGAAAAGCATGTTCTTTTTTTAATAGCTAGTCCTTTACTCTAGCAGTCAGCTCCTTAATGAAAGGAGGGAATAATTAATGTCCCTGCAACACAGGAAAGTTGCTTTTGATTGCAGTGGATTTAACTGAAATGACAGGCAGAGGGGAACCCTCTCAAATTCACTGTAAAAATTCATACTAGGGCTAGGCTGTAGAGCTTCATTAAGCGCAATTGGGTTTATCACAGAGAGCCAGTTTAACTTAAAAAAACAACCACATTATGTTTCTTAGCTGAGAGAACATACACCAGCTTAAAACAGAGTTTAAAAATACTTTTCCATGGTACTTTGTCAGTAGCAAAGTGATAGTTGATTTCATGTGAGTTCATGTCAGTTTACACTTAAAGGTGTATTGCTCTGGCCTACAGCCCTGCAGGAGATGGTGCTACAACAAGCACAGGTCCTTTTAATTTGTTTCTATGAAGAACTGGGTAAAAGGTGACTCGGTGGAGCTGCTAACTGAGCTCTTGTAGTGGTTCATTCGAGTGTAATTCCTGCTTTTGGAGTGAAACTGGATGACCCTTGCTACCAAGACTACAGCTGCTTCCTCCTATGCAAATATCTTTATGAAGCAGGCTGACTCCTCCGAGGGAGGAGGTTTTGGGGAAGCCTGCTTGCGTGGAGAACACGTGGAGCGCTGAAACATGCAGAACGAAAGCAGGGCTCTGGGCCAGCACAAGGCCTTGTGTGGAGCTGGCATTGAAACAAACTGTGCTACTCCTCAGCAGCCGTGCTGCGCTCTGCTCTGCGGCTGCCTGACTGTGGCTGCTTTGTTAGTTTGGTGCTACCAAAGGGAGGGTTGTGCCATCTCCGTGTCAGAAGCAGAGCTTGGCTTGTATGAATTAAATCGAGGAGCTGACACCAGGATTTGAGGGTGGCCAAGTCATGCCTTCGTTTCTGTGAATTACAGACTTGCTTAGGACTGTGTAATGGCAAAAGCTAAGTCTGTTCTGCTTTGGCTCTTCTATTAAGAAAATGCCCTCACACAGGGTTCTCTGAGCACAGATCTAAATTTAACTCAGGATTCAAGGTGGGATGTTGCCTTTGAAAGGCAGGTAGATCTTGATGTTTTCTGGTAGGTTAATCTGACTTTCAAGTGCCTACTCCTGCAAGTAGTAAAGTGTAGTTAGGTCCTGTGTGTAATTACCCCATTCTTCTGCTAAATTTGAAGCCATTAGATGCATTCCTCCTCAAAAGCAGACGCTTGCTGACTTTTGTCATGGGCTAACTCATTTACAGGAAGCTGCTGCAGTTACGAACTTGGAATTTAGAAATACTGAGTTCAGTGTGTTACAACCAGCTCCTTCTGAAGCAAAAACAAATGCCTACATACCTGGAATAACTTTGTGCTGGAGATTATCATGATTTGCTGGGTCTCGTCCCAGTAAACAAATGCTCTGCATCTCTTGCTCGTTCCTGCTTTCCTCGGGGCTCTGTCACCAGACTGTCCAGCTAGCTCGTTACCAAGGGCTAAGCATAGAGGGGATCATCTTTAGAGTGGAAGGTGGCATTATGAGGTGAAGAGCATTAATCTTGCTTCAGGATGGAAAACTGAGATGTGCTCGGTGATAAGGCAAAGGGCAAGAGAAGGGCTTGTTATCTGCATTTCATAGAGACCTGGAGCACGAGGAAGTGGTGACTCGTCGAGGTTATCGGTGACTCCTGACAGTGGAATGTCTGGAGCTTCCTTTGCAGGATCAACACGCCCATGTTCCTGTTAGCTCCCTCGCACTGCATCTGCGCTCCCAGTGTGCATTTTGCGACACTTCTCTTACGTGATGCTCTTCCATGGAGGGAAAACTCCATGGAAGGCTTCGTATAACTCAAATTCCAGTGCCTGGAGAAAAAGAACCACCATAAAGAGTAAGAGTGCCCTCGTGCTCTGCCTTGTGAGTGTTTCTGCAATCCAGAAATGATATTTCTGATGTCACTTGGGACGCAGTGGTCAAACTTGTACCTTGAAAAAAACAAAACCAAAAAGCAAACGTGGTAAGGACCTGTTCTAAAAAAGCCAACGCTTCCTATTGCACACACTCAGTAGCAGTATCCTCCAGTGAACAAAGAGAATTCCTCCTGGCTGCTGCTGGGAGCGTGGTAAGCCCCAGACCTGAGAGGTGTAGTCAGTGGTACCGTGGGTACTGCTGTTACTGCTGTTGGCGAAGTGCCTTTCTTCCGCAGGAGGAGTTGCAAGGTTTGCTCCAGCCAGGGAAGGAGCATCAGGTCTCAGAATACCTGGCTGGTTTCCTGGAATTCCCAAAGGGTTCAGCCAAGCTTCCAGTACCTTTTGCTAGAAGTAAAACATGGGAATCTGTAATCTAATGCACTAAAGCTGCTCTTGAGATCCCTGGGAGTTGTTTTTAGCCCATTAATTCTGATAGGGAGTATTCCTTAACCTTTGATGGCATGTTTCTGCTTGCTTTTTATTCTCTAAGACCGATTTTTCTTCTCCTTGCTTTGGCCAGGTATGCATCTCTGTGGAAAGGATGCCTGACGCTTTACACAGGGCGAGGAGGCGAGCTGCATAAAATTGGGGAGTAAGTATCGCCTGCTGCTACTTGTGGTGTTCTGTCCTGCTCTCAGCAGAGCATCGCGGTAAGTACAGGCCGGGGTGGCTCCCATTAAACAGAAGCTGGGTCAGCAAAAAGGTGCTGATCGGCTGTGGATAGGCACCGTGCAGGCACCTGTGATGTGAGTTCCCACACGGTGTGGCAATGAGCTCCAGTCCCCCAAGGATTTTAGTCATATCGAGGTAAATCAGCCTCTGTCACGGCACAGGCCTGGATTAGCTGGAGGTGCTGGTGGGGAAGTGGGTGAATGACGAGGGACTTAGTCTGCGCTGCTTGCTTAGACCTCAGGTTGAATAACCACTTCGGTGGAAACCCTGTGTCTGTCTCATGCTTGAGAGACAACCAGTGTAAAGAAGACAAAGGCAGCTTCAGTGAATCATATCTAAACAGAAGCAAGCCTCATTAAACCTCCTTTAAACTGCCCACAGAGCGAGGCGGTGACTTTTCTTGACTAAGAACAAGCATGAGTAACATACTTGACAGGCAACAGGGGAAGCAGCAACCTTTTTCTAACCAGAAGAGAATTTCCACTTCCCACAGTGCTGTAAGAGGCCTCGTAGTCACGAGGGAAGCAGTGCTGTGGGGTGGCCCCTTAACATAGTTCAAAGATGCCCTGTGCTCAGCTGGATTTTAAGGGATGACCATGTTTTCTTTGGTGCTAAGTCGTTGCTACTTCCATGTGGTTGGTCGGTGGGCCTGTTCCTTAGGACTCCCTGGAAGCACAACAGGATGCTTTGAATTTCATCCCTCGTTTCATGCTCTGTGCTATGGTAATGGAGCTGGCTGTAGCATGGGGGCGTGTGGGAGTATTTGTTTTCCCTCGAGATCTAACGCAGCTGTAACTGGGAGCAGGCTGGGTGACTCTGTGCCTCGCCCGACCTTGTGAGTGGGTGCTGGACGAGATTGTGTAGATGGGAGAGGCCGAGGTGTGAGCTCTGGGTTAGTGACTCCTTGGTGGTGGGATACGTGCAGAATGTACATTCCTGGAGTTGCAGAGCTGAGAACTTGACGCACGGCTCTAGAACTTCATCATCATACTGATTTCTTCTCAGGTTCTGCATGGTGTACTCAGAAGTGCCAAACTTCAGTGAGCCCAACTCAGAACACATTGGACAGAACAAACTGGTATGTTAAACTTGTCTGAGACTTCAGCTATAAAGTGCTCTTTTGTTCTGAATACTTCACACTAGGCCATGATAAGATAAGTCCCGTCTGGAAAAAGGGATTTGAAATGATACAGAAATAAAAGCAAATAATTAGCATAGCAAATAAATTCTATGTAGAGCCGCAATAAGAACACAGGAGAAAAATCCCTTTCTGTGGATATTTGCAACTTCTTTCTGACCCATGTCTCTTTTTCACATTTCTCTGAAGGCACAAGGTGAACAGAATAATAGTTCTGCATCAAGTAATATGGGTTCTTGTACATTCGGGCCACTGGGTAAGTCTCTTTCATTTTGTGGAGGTGAAAGTGTAAGAAACAGTTAATGGGAATGAAAATAAATTTGTCTTAAATAAGATGAATTTTGACACTGTGGGGTACGAGCCTACTCTAAAAAGGGTTTTCACTTGGGGGCATGAATCTGCAAGCAGAAACACGAACACTTCCTGGATAATGGTTTCAGGTTTTGTCCCCAAGAAGAGGAAGAAAAATATTCATAGTGTCTGTGTCATGTAAAAAGACTTGAGTAATCCTAGGTTGCTCTGATGCTTTCAAAGAGTTCTTGCAACACTTGAAATTCTGTTTATAAAGTGGTGTTGCAGGAGCCATTTATTTTTTAAACCACCTGAGACCTTGGTCTTAAAAATGCCTTCTTTAATCTCGCCTGTTACCATGGCTTTTCTGCCAGGTTAGCTCCTCAAAATAGATAGAAGTGCAGGTAATCTGAATTCTAATATCTGACCTGACTGCATGGCTCTGTGATATCCTATTTAAGCTTTAATGTTTAATAAGAAGTTGCTTCAAAGGCTTGAGTGGGTGTAAGCTCAGAGGGAGCCTTACTTGTGGCCTGCCTACACAATGCCCAGCCTCAGTGCCTGGTGTTTTGCAGCTGAGTTTTGCTGGTGGATGGCAGCAAACTGATAAACTGATGCGTGACGTGCTGCTGGAAAGCTCCATGTCACTTCCGTTCAGTGACTGGTTCCTCTTCAGCAACACGATGATCGCTTCTTATTTTAATAAGGAGCCCTCTGTGTTCCTTTGAGAATAGAGCAAAGGAATTTTGAGCAAAAACTTGCTCAAAGAGTTCTGCCTTTCCTTTTCCAGGGTGAGGCGAGTGGGCTTTTAGCCCAGCTGGTGTGCAGGCACCTCCTCAGTGTCCTGGTGGTGGGTTTTGGGCAGCTTTGTTTGTGCTGACCTCACGTTCACGAGGGCTTAGCACTAGCTGACTTGCTCCTGTGACTGGGCCTCACAAGACAGCTTTCTATTTCTGCCTGCTTGCAGGGAAAGATGCAATAAGCTACGTGCAGCTTGATTGTCTTTTGCTCGTTTCTACTTGACTTCTGCCCTGCATATTTCTGGAACATCCTGGCGGTGTGACCTACGAGCTAGAGCATGTTCCTGAAAGCATCAGTCTGTTTTTATTAGACTCCTGTCTCTGCTGTGCAGGGAATTAGCGTGCAACTCCCTGTGGCCCTTCTTGTTTTTGTTGGAGGTGGGGGGAAGGGATTAGGGGAGCAGGTAGGCTGCAGCTGGGGTCTTGGGAATGCCAGAGGGACTTTTTCTAGTGCTCAGGGTTTGCTGATGGCTCCCTGTTGTTAAACGTGGGTAGGGAAGCGGTGATTTCATTCAATGGAACTTGTGATGACCTCTTTTCTGTCTTTTTAGGAAATGGTTTACAAACTGGACCTGAATCAAGTGGATTCCCATTTACGTATAATCATGGCCACTCTTATGCAGGTAGTGGGAGAGGCAATGGACGAGGACCTGTAAATCCAGCAGCAGCTAACAGTGTTCAGCCTCTTCCCCCTGCTGTCAGTAACGGGAGGGACCCACGCAGAGCCTATAAAAGATGACTATGCCAAATGTGGTTGTACAGCTTGCTTAAACTCTACACTCTACTTGAACACTTATTGCACTTTTATTTATGGTTAACTGTGAACCAGTTTGTCCTTTTTTTTTTTTTTTTTTTTTTACCTTTTGGTCTATGGAGCAAACGATGTGATCTTTTGTTTTGCTTAGGGAAGCACAGTGAGTCTTCCCCGTAAATTGAAGGGGTAGAGGGAGAAGGCGGATATAAGGACATAAGGGTAATGGTTTGAAGAGCCTCAGTTAAAACTCAGTGCTATTTGCTAAATGGAAGAGAATTTCAGTTACGTGTGTGTATTTTTCTGTTTCTGTTGGTCAGCCGTATAGCCTTAAAAGGTCTGTGATGTCCTGTGTGCACATAACGGTGACTCCCCATTAGTGTTAATGGGAGCTCCTCGTACTGGAAGAGAAATGAGGGAGAAGGGCAAAGCAGCCTTAGCGAGCTAGGTGTGCTTGGAATGAATAGAGCTTGTGAAAGCAATAAGTGCAAGGAAACGGTGGTGCCAGCACTTTGTGGTGTCTCCTAAATCAGAGAATGAATAACCTAGAGAAAAGTCAAAGACCTGGAGAGCACGTTGAAGCTTGACTTCTGATTCCACAAATCTGTATGCTATTTTAAAGACTAATTCTTCATCGTGCCACTTCCAGAGAAGGCATATGCTATTTAAAGAAAATTTCTCCATAATCCACCATTATCAGTGTCAAGGAAAGCAATTTTTTTTTTTTTTGGCCTTGGGTGAAAGCCTGGATGCCCATTCTTGCTTTGCATAGAATGTGAAAGGAAGATCTAAATTCAGAGAGCATTGGAGAACACTGTTAGTAGCAGTAAAAGCTCACAGTTACTTTACAGGACTCTGAATCTCCAGGAAAGAATGAGTTTCACAAACTGTTCTCAAATGCTGCATTACATCTCTTTAATGAGGCTGAGTACTTTTCCTTCCTTCATTGACTTTTCCAAACGAATTTTGTATTAGATCAAGTTGTATGTTGGGATTGCAGAGGTACTGGCCAAGAACACAGCTGCAGTTTTGGTGCTGCTAAGCTTTCCTTCCTCTGTTTTATATGGAGTACAAATTATCCCTTACAGAACTTAACCCTCACCCCACTCTCCCTTGGGGGAAGCTGAGTTTTTTTTCTGTTTTTTTTTCTTTTTTCTGAGATTACAAATGCCTTGACCCTAGGAAGCTGCCCAGTGCCATATTTCAGATCAGGTTTAAGAAACAACTTTGAAGCTGAGGTGTCATACTGGATTCATCTGTTTAACTCTTCTTTATAGCTGACCTCTCAAATAAAAATTGCACTAACTATTTCAAAAACAAATCTAACTTTCTTTCTGTCAAGCCATAAAGACTTCATGACAAAAGGCTATTTCTGAATTGCAAGTTGTCTCTGTTATTCATGTTGTTTGAAGCTACCCCCAAGTTACTGATGTTTACAAGTTACATTTGATATTTGTTTGGTGCTCTATCACTATTTGTTGACAGCTGCCTCTAAGGGGCAAGTTCCTTGCTTAATCTGAAATACCAGAATGTCTTTAAAAGTGGGCAGCAGCAGTGACAAATACTTGAGGGAAGCTTTTTAGGGAGACCTGTATGCTGTTTGCCTCCGATTTGGTGAGGTGCTACCCTGATGCCTGTTGCCAAAATCTGTCCTGCACACAAAAGAGTGGCATGCCTCCTGAGGTCACTCGCTGGTGCTGCTAGGGAGAACAGCGTGAACTTGCAAAGCACGCAGTGAGATCTGGGGAAGTGCTGTAAGGTGATGTGCAACTCAGGGACTTTACATTGCTCACATATTCAGAAGTCATCCATAGAGTCTAGATGTATAGGCCTTTCACGTGGTGTTGCATTCTGATGTTTGACGTGCTTGTGAGAAGGGATCCAAGAGGACTTCCAACCCTGTGACATACGGGTGACATGATCCGGAGGTAACTGAGCTGTAAGTATGGTGTGGGAGCTGTAAAGGTAGCGAGTGAAGAGGTGAGGTGGTGGCATGGTGGTGACTTCATACTCGTTGGGGTGTCTCAGAAGTCCTGGTGGTCTAGGTTTCTACCATAATAAAGAAGGTTGAAATAATGGGGAACCTGGTTTCAGTGTATGCAGAGGTACCTGGTGTTTGCAGCTCTATGCATCTGGGCTTTTATTAAGATAATTAAGTTGTTCACGTTCAAAATCGAGGATTGCTGCTGATAAATGTCAAAATTGAACTGTTTGCTGTCAAGTGGATGACTGACTTTCGGTTGGGAGGAAAAAAAGCACAAGAGGCTGGTCTCCGTGTTCTCAAGGTTAGTAGCATTCCTGCCTTCGTCTTTCTGATGTGAAACTATTCCAGCTTATTAATAAATTTTTACTTCTTTGCAGGGGAAATCTGTGCCCTGAAAAGTCACATGGACTTAAAGTCAATGTAATAGCAACTTTCCAAGTTTCCTCTGAGCTTCCCATGAACCTAAGACAAGGAAGTTATTTCCCTCAGAGGTGTCAGTGTCAAGATAGAGAGCTCTCAACTTGCAGAGGAGCCTGGGAGCCTGCCTTGCATCTGGATCCTATCACCTCAGTGTATGGAGGCTTTGCACAGGAACGTTTCCCCATGTAAACAAGCAGTGGTCATGAGTTCCTCACACTACAAGCGGCTTCACAGGGCCTAGGGTGCAGTCTTTTTACACCTATCTGTGGAGGACACCAGAGGTGGGATTTTTGTGAGGGCAGTTTCAGCCCTGGTAACACAGACCACCGAAGGAGGAAGCTGGAAGCTGTCCACTTCCCCAAACAGCCTTCTGCTGTGTGGCCAAGCAGTCCTGATGCACTTGGGGCCACTACACACCCAGCTTGTGTCCCGTCACAGTGCCACTCTCCTCTTAAGTCCCCATAAGGGACTTCAGCAGTGTAGCACTGAGGAGTTCTGTTGCTTATCTGCTGAAGTCCCCTGTGTGCTGCTTTAGTCCTTCCTCGGCCCAAATCCCCTTCATGCTCAAAGTGGAAAAGCAGTCCTATTGCCAAGCAGTGCCTGACCCTGCATATGCAACCTACAGCCCCAGTGAGGAGGGGAAGGTGCTGTGAGGAACACGGGGGTGCTGGAGCAGGGCACATGGTGGCATAATCACAGCTCTCATGAGACACCTGAATAGCTTTGGCCTTACAGGCCTCAGTGCGTAGGCCTGTTTTGCTAATGGCCTGGCTGTACCCTTCCTGTAGGGATCTTTGATGTCCCTACCCCCCAGACAAGGGGTTATTATCTGTTTCATAAACGTACTTTGTACCGGCAGCTCCCAAAGTGCTTGCTAGAACTGGGAACTGGTCAAAGCAAGGGGTTTCCAGGCGTTTTTGGGACAGCTTTGCTGGGCTGCTGCGTGGCCTGTGTGTTCTCAGTGGCCTGGGGATTTCCTTGCTCCTCTCACTTAGGTAGCTTTGTCCTTTTTCCCTAAACTTCGAACCAAGCAAGTCTTGGTGCAGCCTGGCAGTGTTTTCCAGGGGGATCCGTGGAGGTGTGTGGCTCTGCCCATGCAGGTCTGGCTTGCTCTTGGCTGGTTTTGGGGGTTTCTGCCCTTAGCCCAGCACCAGCGTGCTACCGGGGAGACTGCAGGGCTGTGACTCCTCGTGGCGAGGCTCTGTTAATGAGCACAGGAGCAGCCATGGTTTCAGTTTAACCCAGATGCTCCCCCTGCTGTGCTTTTCTGCTGGGTGAGCCCTGCCCTTGCTACCAGGGGCACAAGGTGCCAGCAGACTCCCGGCCAGCACCCTGCGTGCCCACCTTGGTGGCTGTGCTCAGAAGGAAGCATGGGAGCCCTCACGGTGCTGGTTCCACTCCCGTTTGTTTTTTTCTGGTTACTTTTGCAGTGGAAGATGTGATAAACCTAGTAAGGGGCGACTGCCTAGCAATTTCTTCAAGAATTCAACCAGAGATGCACTTTGTGGCTTGAGCCTTAATCACCTTACTGACTCCCTTGCTCTCATCCAGGGGATCTGAAGTTGTTGCGGCCCTCTGTAGGGATTATGCTTTTTGATCTGAGATGGGCGTTTGTGTATGTATATTTTTATATGTATATACACAGCATCTTGCAATTGGGATGGAGAAAATAATCCTAAAAAACCCTGTTTGCTCAACTACAGAGGATGGACTTCAGAGGGATTCGAAACTAAATGTGGAAGTTACTAAAGGGAAGAGTTAAGGACTTCATTTAGCTTTTTCATTTCTCTAAATAACTTTTTTTTTTTTTTCCCTCAGGAAGAAAGTAATGTAGATATAGGAGCTTCATCTACAGTCACCTCCCAGCTGATAAACAGGCACTGGGTTGTACGTTTCCTAGGGAGCAAGATTAGGGACGGAATAAAACATCAGGATTTATCAGAGAAAGAAAATTCTTGTGTGCTGTAAAAGCACGTTCAGAGCTAGCTGCTTCCTGTGAGAGCTGAAATGGGACGAGATCTGCTCTGCAGAGGGAAAACCCAAGGCAGTGCAGTCCCTCCACTGCTGACTAGCTACCACATATTAGGTAACTAGCACATAAAAGACAAAATCAGCTTAGTAAATCATTAACCAGGACTCTCTAGGAGTGCAGCTGCACGTTGTGTGACCCCATGGGGGTGGCTGGGAGTTCCCTCTGAATTTAAGCGCGGTTTGCAGTAGGTCCTGTGCAGGCAGTGGGTTCCCATCTGTGAAACCAGGGGTGGTCGGGCTGGCCTGTTGGAAGCTGAACTCACTGGTGCAGAAGCTGAACACAGTAGAAAAGCTGAAAGCCACAACCAGCGTGTAGGGTTTTATTTCTAAATCAAGAGAAGTTTAGAAACACAGGTGAAGCTTGCATTTTCCATACCCCCCTCCCCCCCAGCCCTGCCAGGTGGGAAGTGCAGCTATCAGCATCTGATCTGCTGCACCTGGTGCTTCTGCTCCACTCGGCTCCTCTGCACCAGGGCAGGCGTGGGCTGATGCTCTCAGGCACATTCATGCCTGCTTGGAAAACCAGGATAGCCTGGAGATGCTGGGAGAAGCTCTGTGGCAGGAGGGCTGGTGGCTTCTTCAGTCTGTACTGCAGGTAAATGTTTAAAACATCAGGCAAATGCTGCCAGGGGTGGCTTGGGGGTGGGGGAGTTGATTTTGGCACAGGGCAAGCGGGAGGATGCATTAAATGGTCTACTGTAGCCCTCTCCACCGTTATGTTCTATTATTTATGCATTAGTTTCATTTTTGTAATTTCCTCCTTCACAGGTTGATTAATACTAAATTTAATTTTCTGTAATCAACTTGAGCATGTAACTTGGAGAGATGAGGTTTAGGCTGATTGCAGTAAAAATCTACCTAGCTCAAATAAAGCGAAACTATTTTTATCTCTAAATTATGCAATGTTTTCAGGGAGCTCTGCAGCCTACTTATATTTAACCTTTGAATGGAGTGCTCTATTATTTCAGATCAACTACTGCAAACTTTGTAAATAGTTTTTTTTATAAATATTAGAGAGCCACCTGCATGCCATCCACCAAATTATTAGCAAGGCAGAGAAGGATAACCAAGACTGCTGTCAGACTTCAGCTGAATGTGAAAAACATTTAAATGCCAAGAACAGTGGTTGCCAAGAAATAACTTTAAACACCAGGTGCTGGAGGAACAAATTAATATGACTTATTTTTAGAAATAGCAGGTCGAGGCCTGATGCAGGCATTTCCATGTACAGCAGCAGCACTTAGCCATGCAGTAGGACTAGCAAAATCAACGCAACCTTCTCTTAAAAATAAAAAAAAAAGAAATAGATGCAATTTAATTAAAAGCTTTAATTAGGGAGGGAAAGAGAAGCTGATCCCCTCTCTGTTATTTGCAAGACTCCACTGAGCTGCTCCTGTGCTGTTGCTTATTGGAATTGCCTGTGATGTGGCTTAGGATGACCTTGAAGTAAGGAAGCCCTGTGCAAAAGCCATTTTTGAAATCTTTGCCTCAGCACTTGCAATCGAGTTTCATTTTGGCTGTGCTTTACTGCTGGCAGGGCGCATTGCTAGGGACAGTGAGCCTAAATGTTCTTGCTGAGCTTATTTCCTGCAGTAGTGCAGGGCATCGGAGGTAATTTCTAGAGGAAGCAGGACCCAAAATGTATGTAAGTATCACGAAGCCGCTAAGAAGGCTGTGTCAACTTTGGCAAATTGCTGCAATTAGCTTCCCATAGCTTTTTTTAGCAAAGTGGATTTGCAGAAGCCTTCTGGGGCACTTCATCAGTGTTTCAGCTGAAGACACGAGTTACAAAAACCTGTGTCTTTCTAGTGGATGCGTATGGCTGGAAGGGGTGTTGGGAAAAAGAGGCGCGTTGTTAAGCTACTCTGTCGCATGTCTGGTGACAATTTAATGACCGGTAGTATCTGTAATGACTGTGGGTTGTTGTGGATGTGCTTCAGCAGTCCATTTTCACTGGGCAGAGTTTTCATTTTGTGTGTGTGTGTGACAGGGGAAGACATTTTTCTATGGCTTTGGAAGTTTGATGACCGAAGCTGATGAATTGCAGTTGTTACCGCAGGCTGCAGCTTCGGCCCAGGTGTTGCTGTGCCCCCCAAGGAACTGATTTAAGGGATCGGGACGATGTGTACAGGGATTGGGATGATGTGTTTAGCCTGGGATCAGAAGTACCAGCCTCCCAGAAGATGCTGCCTGTCGTCAGGGTGCTCTGTAAGTGGTGCATGGGAGGAGGTGTCCCTGTGACTGTATTTTTAGAGACTGCAGGTGTTTCCTGTTCCTCCAAAGACGCTTGGTTCACCCCATCCCAGGACGTGAGGACGTTGTGATTTTGTTTTCTTCTTGTGCTTCTGTTGGTGTTTCAAGGGAACTTGCAAGAACCCCACTGTGCAGCTGTTTCTTCTCTGCCTGCCCCCTCTTTTATCTGTCCTGAGAAGGTCTGTGCTAGCAGCAGTGGCGGGTGCTCACCTGCGGTCCTGCAGGAGCTTCCTCTGTCTCTAGCTTATCTTCTGCCTCGTGGCCTTGCCCTGCCACCAACACCCAATTTCTTTCATATAATTCACGTCTGTCTTGTATGCATTTAGTTATTTGGTGTTTGACAGGTCTGTCTCATTATTCCTGCTGGTTCTGGCTCCCTTCTCTCTTACAAAACAAAATGGCGGCGATGCCGGCTCCGCCTCTTCAGCCGCCATCATGAGGGCTGCCCGGGCATGGCGGCTCCCTCAGCGGCCTCGATGCTGGCCAAAAAGCCCTTCCCGCCTCCATCCCCTGCTCCGCTGTGGATCGTGTCTGCCCTGGGGCCGATCTCCTTGGCAAGTGGAGCCCCCCATTTTTTTCCTGAGGTACGTGTGACATTGTGTGCCGTCCAGCAGCGCTGCCCAGCCGCCGAGCCCTCTGGGGCTCGGGGATGCATCTCGTGCATCCTCGTAACAAGTCATTCACGACTCCCTGGGCACCGGGCTTCAAGCTCAGTCTTTGAGAAGACTTTGGTAAAGAAGAAAGGATTGCTTTTTTCCTGACAGCTGCAAATGAAAAATCTTTTCACTTGGGAGTTGCGGGTCATATTTATGGAAATGTGGAGAGCACTTGCAATATTTATAGTGGTTACAGAAGCGATTGAATCTATCTTTTATTGATACGTATTTACATGCCCACAAAAATCCTATTGCGTAGTATTTGAGAGAATTTTATTTAGATTTAGTATTTTGAAGTAATTTTTTAGTGCTTCTTTATTATCCGCGGAGTGCAAGATTCAATATTTCAAGTCCAACTGTCACCAAACAGCCAGAGGTTTTTAAAAGATTTTTATTTTACATAAAGATAAATGTTGAAGACACATTTTTCAGAGGCACCATCTGTTCCATGTTGACCTTAATTTTCTGGATGAGTGCTTTTCCTCAAATGTTTTAAGTCTCGTCTACATTTCATTTGGTTGGGAGTGTTTAGGTTATTTGTTGAACAGGAAATCAGATATTCAGCATGCAAACACACCATTACATTGCAAATTGTTCCCTTTGTATAATTTAGCAAACTGCTTGGTAAATAATTCTGCAGAGTTGCGGGTAGAGCTGCCTGACATGTGGCAGGTCAGCCCCTGGTGGAAGTGGGTTTCTCTGAGTGCCACCGCCATGCCTGGTGCTGGGAGCTGGGCTGCAGGATGCCAGATGACAACTGGTGGTGCCAACGGTGTGTAAATGTCTTTATCCATCTTTCTTTAGGTGTCTTTAGGGGTGAGGATAGGATAAGGGCTCGTTGGTTGGCTTTGTGGCCCTGGCAGGGCTTGCTGTTCAGGCTGTCTGCACAGCAGTACTTGATTCTAGCAGAGGGAGGTCACTGAAGCAGCTGTGTCTGGCACACAACATTTCTGCAGGGCAATATTGCCAGCCACCTCCCTTTCTTCCTTCAGATCCTTTTGCTCTCACATCTTCAGCTGCAATAGGCTTACAGATGAATTCTGGCTTCTTTGCCTCCAGCCTTGCTCTGTGGCTTGTCTGACAAGCTCCCTTGTGTTATTGATGCAGATTGCCAAAATGGGGCTCCTGAACCCCAACCTAACCCTGCCTTCAACTGTGGGGAGAGGAAAAATACCAAGTTGTCTACCTCCTTACTAGTTCCTTCCTGCTTTCCTTCTCCATAAGATAAAACATAAAAGCTGTAACACAACTCTAGGTGGATGCTGTCTCTATTGATAGGTGGTTGATTTGGACTAAGGCTGGCCTGCAGCAGCAATTATTTCAGTGACAAAATGTGTGCTTGGCAGGGGCGGTAATGTCTTTGTGGTTTTGGGTTGTGCGCAGCATTGTAATCCCGCCCTCATGTTTCTTCTCCTAATGTAGGAGATCCTCTCACCCCTTCTGTGCTACAACATCTATAGTCATAACCTGGGCAGGATATTGAGTTGTTTTTTTTCCCTAGAAATGGATTTGGAAATAAAACTAATGGAGTGGTAGAAAAAGTGATAGAAATTATTATTAGTATTGTTTTATGCTTCAAGAAAATCCTAGAGGGGAATGCTACGAGAACAATGCTCTTCCGAATCAACCAGCTGGTTTCCCTATAGCTCTGCTGCAGGAGTGCCTAGTAAAGCCCATTTCATTGTGATACTGAGATTTCGGGGGAAATGGCTAAACAAATATCTAAGTATCAAGACTGTGGTGTTTCTGAATGCCAAAACTTGTGGGGGAGACACACTGGCAAGGTGGTGGCTGGTGCTTTGGTCACCAGCCAGGCTCTGTTGGGCAACACCCATTGCGACAGCAAGTTTTGAGGGAAGTGCTGGGCTATAAAGTAATGAAATGCAGAGCAGCTAAATTTTGTCTCTTGTGGTAATCTCTAGCATCTAGATTTCTGGCTCTATGCAAGGATAGGAAAGGTTGGTGTTTGAGAAAAGCTAACGATGCTCTCCCCCTACCACCGAAACAGATACCTTCCTGCTCTTTGAAGAACTGAGAAGTCTTGCAAATGGGAAATGTGAGTGGGTTTAGTCATTTCGGCCTTGCTTTGAGGTGGTGATTTATAAAACATGTCGAATTGCAGGCCTGTAAATGGGTGAAGAATAACTCAGCAGGAGAGTGTCAAAACTCTCCCTTGCGCCTTTGGGGTTGGCCCTTTCAAAAGGCAGGATGTCTTGCTTAACTGCTGGAAGGTCAGATTTAATTATTATTGCAGCTAATCTCAGTTCGATTTTTTTTTTCCCTTTTAATCCTGTCAGCAGTGGCAGAAACAGCTGTTAAAGGAGGCTCAATGGGCCTCCCTCCTGCTCTGAGGCAGAGCTGAGCAGTCAGGCAGGGGCTAACAAACACAGCATTGGGCTGGTGGACCTCAAATCCGGCCTCTGCCAGGGATAGCTTCAAACATTGGCCTTTGTCAAGAAGTTGGACGTCTGTCCTTCACCAGCCTAAGTAAATGTCTGGAGTTTGAGCAGCAGCTTTAGCTAATGACAGAGATTGCTGCCATACTGGCTTTAGTGTGTGGTGTCCGGACACGTTGCAGCCTCATATTCCTGCTCACGCTGCCCTTCCTAGCTGGATTAGCAGGGCTGGGGCATTTTGGGGTTATTATTTTGGGTTCCAAACAAAATGTGAAACCAGGACAGAGCCTGAATCTGAAGTAAGGGGCTGGTGGGAGACTACAACATTGGTGGAGTAAGAGAGTGAACAAAACCTGCCCTTTTCAAGATACATCTACATTAAAAACAATGTTTCTTTCTCTTCAGCAGAGAAATGTTTAGTTTTACAAAAGAACAACATGTTTGTTTACATGCATCTGCCTTTCCTCAGTGTCTTAAGAAAATACCTAACTTTGGTAGCATCATCATAGAATAAGTGTTTTAAAACCATTTGGGGTACGTTCATTATGTTTCTGCAGCAAGAAGCCTGTTACACGTTGTGCAAATAATTCTGTGGAGACAAAGCAGCCAACTTCTGTGTGATTTACAGGAGGTATCCTACAAGCGCTGCCTTTGCTTTGGCATGGTCACATCTGCACAGCAGGACTGAGTGTATTTTAGATGACCAAAAGTATTCTGACCTGCTGGATTGCAAGCTAAATAGTTATATGGTTTCTATAGCAATAGAGGTCATTATTTGGAAAAGCACAACTTTCCTAAGTTGGAAAGAGGGGGCTGAAAGCAAAATGCTTATCCGTGTGAATGCCTGAACTGCCATGAGATGACGATAGATACAACATCTGTTGCCAATCTAAGGGGCTAGGGGAGGAAGCTGCTTTCTGCTGGCATGCAGGAGAGGGCCCTGCTTAAAATAATAAAAGCAACTCCATTCCCCCAACCCTTCAAATCTCAGCTCTGTGTTTTTGCACTGCTAGTACTTTTAGGGTTGTATTGAGATGAAATCCCAAACCCTGTGGTTGCTGGTTGCCCAGGTCTCGTGCGTGATACTACAACAGCTGCCCTCCTTGTTGTCTTCTTCTGCTGTGTTAAAACCTGAGCTTCAAAGCTGTGGCCTAGGCTTGGGAGGAGGATGTCCATAGCAGAAGCCAGGTGGATTTCAAGAACCATATTCAAATTCAGGAAAAAACTGCAATCGCTGTTTTGTTTGAAGCTGTAGCTCTCACAGAGCACGCTCCACGTGGAGGAAATTGCAACAGATGCGCGTGTTGAAAAGCAGAACATCGTTTTGCCTTATTAGATTAGTAAGTTTAGATTAATAACTAATTAATATAGCTACACCTAAATACTGAGTTAGCTACAGCTGAGAAGGAATTTATTTTTCCTGAAATATTTTTTTGTGTGTCTGCTGGAATGAACGGGTTCTCAGGGTGCTCCCTCCTTTCATCCAGAGTTACTCACCAGGAGTTGGATGTTGTGGTGATGCAGGCTGCTGCTGTGCCATAAGCTCTTTCCTCCCTCGCCTGGGTGGCATTAGCACTTGGGGCCCTTCAGCTGAAATCTGAACGAGAGAAGGATGTGCCTTTGGCTGGTCTCAGTGAGATCAAAGAGCGTGGTGTTACAGTTGGAAGCCGAGTGTAGTCGTAAACATCATTTACTGGTTCATCTGAATGCAGACAAATAGTTTTCCCACTTGCTTATGGAAATAACATCGTTTACTCGCCATCTGTTTATTCTACACTATATATACCTCTTCCTTCCAAGACAAAGTGAAGATCTTCTGATTAGCAGCTCCAGTAAAATGCGGCTGATTTATTGGAGAGCGCTGCTTTTTGCCAAGTACGCTGCTGTAACAAAAGTACTGTTTGTTATGACATTGTACTGAGTCACTTGTTGATGCTATTTGAGGGAGAGAATGCAGTTAAGAAACTGGAACAGGATGTTCATTTTATTTCAGTACTTGTAATCCTGAGTCAGCCCTGATAGCTGATGAAATACAGAAACTCGCGTTTTCGGCAGGGCTTCTCTTAACATAATTTTGGGATGCCGTGAGTTGATACAGGGTGGAAAAATACACAAAGCTGATTTTATGCAGAGAGCTGTGTTTTAGTTGTCACTCTCTGCTGGAGCGCTCTTAGATTTTGTACATCTGTGGCACTTTGCTGTGTCTTTAAATGTTCTGCCGGGGGGCTGAAACACGAGCTGGTGCCTCCAGCACACAGGGCTATGCAGGTATTTGGATTTTGAGGACACCGTCTCAAATATGTGGTTTCTGGCTGTTTATGGGGATCACCAAGGTTGCTTCTTGGCTGCTCCTGCTGGCTGCTCATGACCTGCTCCTGCAGCAAATGTGGGAAGTCTTGGGTTTTCTGGCTGCGTACCCGTGGAGCAAAGGGAAAAGGCCCAATTCAAGTGTTAAGTGCAGTTTTGGAGATAATCTTATCCGAGCCCATTAACCTGCAGGAGTATGATTAAGGTGCCTATGGGATTAGTAGGAACCATCACACGTGCAGTACTGTTTCCTGTGTGAATCCAATAATGCTGCTGAGATCCTGAAGCCGAGCCTCTTTCCTCATCGGGGCCCAGAGACCTTTCAAAATAATTTGCATGCATTGCTTCAGCTTCACTTCAGGGTGGCAGGCAGCAAATCTTTAAAAGCCCAGCTTACTTGTGGGCAGAAAATAAAGAATATTGACTCTGTTGAAGCTGTGGGAAGAATTTACGTAGGAGGAATGTAATTATTAGATCTGAAGTCTGACCAGGATGCACAATACTGCCGCGAGGTGTGTGTGAACCAAGCAAGAGCACCCCAAAAGTCTCCTTCCCCACTTAACAGGAGAGTAGAGTGAATAGAGGGGATGGAGGTAAAACTGTAGAGTTAAATTCTCTGCAGCCGGGTGGTGAAATGCATTCATCCCTTCTGGCACTGCTGCTAATTCATATTTAAAGCAATATGAATTTCATGAGCATTTAAAAAAATCATATTTTAAATTCAATTTGCTGTCAACTCATTTGATGTTTTGTGTAAAGTCATTTCCCATAAACAGGTTACTGAATATCAAACGGCTTGTCTCATCCGTAATTTCTGGAAAGAAATAATATTATAATAAAGATGAGAATCTGGTTCTCATGAGTCAGGGAGCGCGTTGGGGGTTGCTGGTGCTCTTTGGTGCTTCCCTCATCGCAGCCAAGGAATGGCCTGGGCAAGTAACATGAAAGAGGCATTCATAATAGTGTTTTCTAGTGTGTTCTTTAAATAATTAGTGTTGTATATATATATTTATATATTATAATAATATATATAAACACATATTTCCAGATATCAAAGAGCTGGATGGAAACGGATTGCAATACCTCATATGGGACAGACCTCTGGAGCTGTACAGCTGAAGCAGCATTTAAAGAACCAGGTAATACGAGTGGATATGTTGAAAAAGTCAGGGATGTTTGTTGAGAAGTGTGGAAGAAATAACTGCTGTATTTTCTTGGCATGGGTTTCTGACCTGTGCTTGGAGATGGCTGGCACCTGGAAGGTGCTGCGCTATGTGAAACAGCATCGGAGCTGCTACGGAGCAGAATCCTTTGCAAAAAGAAATAAATTGGTCTCTGGATGCCACCAATCTCGCTTCCAAGTGCTGAGTAACGTGCCCTGGGTGTAAGCACGTAACATGCAGGTGAGCGGCTTGGGCTCTTGCCAAAGATCTGATGGATTCCTAGCGCGGCAGATCAGGCCAGGGAGGTTGAAATGGCTTTTTATTTATTTATCTGCTTACTTGAACCAGCTCCGTTGTAAAAGTGGATGTCACCCTCTGTCTTTGAAAACTGCCAGAGAAAAAAAAAAATATCAGGCCCCCCAATTTTCCCAAACCAATGTGTTTTTCCAGCAGATGATTGCCCTGGAAGGATTTTTTGTTGTTGTTGTTTCTTCAATTAGGGAAGAAAGCTCGGCCTAATTGCTAAGTGTCAAAATGCCCTCAGAAGTGGAGTTTCTGTGCTTGAGGCAACTCACCTGAAGCTGCTGAAGCATTTCTGAACACCAGCACCCCCTTCATTTAATCCCTTCTTTCAGTGCTGTCTGAGGGGGGTGCCCAGCCCGCGCTCCCACTTCAGGTGGTTTTTGAGCTTGTTGAGGACCTTGGGCTGGCACGGAGACCTCTGGAAGGCTGTGAGAGAATCGAAGCAGCAGGGATGGGTGAGGTTGGTCTGATTTTTCTGGGAGTTTGCAGTGCGAGGGGACCCTGCTGAAACAGTCCCATTCCAGCCCAGCCCCACCTCCGCTTGTCCCCAGGGCTTTTAGGGGACAAGTCCTGCAGGATATTGGCGGTGAGGTTAGGGATGACCCGGGGCTGGATGGAAGATTTCAGACCAGCTTTGCCCAGCGTGTTCGTAGCTTTGAAGGAGCAGGAGCCTGATGTGCACTGCATGCTGAAGCCTGCACGTTACAATTTTTACAGCACAGAGCAGGTGGGCAATGCCCGGAGCAGCACAGTGGGATCAGTGGGATCTCTTGCTGCAGGGAAAAAAAACTTGGGGCTCTCTGAAACGTGATGGGTTTTGTTATTAAAGGGATGCTGTGCTCAGTTCCTCGTCCTCACACACAGCTTGGGCACGTCGATAGGTGGTGCAAGCTTGCTGCAGTTGGTGAGGCTCTGGAGCTGCTTGCTCCAGGGCTGCAGTGGAGCTGATAGCGGGAGCAGGGCGATGTGAGCTCGGTGCTGCGCCAGCCGTAGGGAAATGCTGACCCATGAATGCCACCCAAGGGCCCTGCAGTGTTTGGAGCCCAGGAGGGAAGCAGAAGCACGGCTTGTGTTGTGCAGGAACAGTTTCTGCAAGGGTTTGCTTCCCTGCTCGCAGCTGTCTGGGGAGCGATGGTTTCTCTTTGCAGCAGCTTTCAAGGTTTTTTTAACCATGTCTCATGGAGAAACAAACAAAAAAATCTTCTGGACTGTTCTAGGCAAAATGAAAACATCTGTCTGGGGAGTAGAAATAGTGGGTGTGTTTGCAACGCAGTGATTTTGCTTCTGCCTGCTCCGGTGTGTCTTAGGTGCCAAGACAGGAGGTTCAGTCCGCACGTACAGCACTGACCTGCAAAACCCCAAACCCAGGGGTGTGTGTCTGCCTGTGCTCTCTGCTGCCTGCTCTCCTGATCGTTTATCACCCTTGATAAACGCAGTCGTACTGCTGTTAAAGGCTGTTGCCGGACGGGATTAAGGAAGCAAGACCCGTGAGAAGCAGGACTTGTTGCGCGTTATCTCCCTGGATCTTTTAATCTGTGGTGTGGGACAGCCCGAGGTTTTCGGGTCTGCCTCGTGAAACGGCAGAGAGAAACATCTTGCTGCTGTCGGGGAGCTTTAATCTTCGCATGGAAATAAGCTTTTCTTGCAGAAGTAGGCTGCTTTTCCAGATGCTTTCAGAAACGCTGATGTTGTGCCGTGGTTGATCTGGCTAATTAAAAACGAGACCCTGTCAATCAAAGCCATTACTTTAATGGCAATGGCAAAAACGCAAAGAGCAGCTCTAGTAAATCAGTGCTAGAGAGAAATGCGCCTCATTTCCTCCGTCTAATTTAGTCAGGAAAAATTTAAGCTTTTATTGTGAGTCTTGATATTCGCAGACCTTTCTGTTATTAATTTTTACTGTTTTAATTACCGCTGGCTGCCCAGACGATCGATGCAAGTTTACTCAGAATACTTCATTACTTGCCCGAAGTTCAGGGAGGTCGCAGCGAGGTCTCTCCTCCAGCTTTTATGTACCAAATTTCTCAAACCTTAGCAAGTCTCCAGGTGCCTTGGTGATTAATTAAGCTCAAAATGGCAAATATGACCACCCGGCAGCAAAACCGAATCACACATGCAAGCAGTGCGTTTGCTCAGGCAGCCCTCACAAGCAGCACCTCCCTCCCCCTAAAAACCTGCAAGGCCTCAAAACAGCAAAAATACTTTTTTTTTTTTCAGATATTTCTCTCATTTGTTCCTCATGTACATTCAAGGAACAGATCCTGATGTTCCTCCGGTCAGCCTGGCGTAGAGAGGCTCTTGGATTTTCCCCTTGTCCCAGTATTTGCTGACCCCAGCACCTCTCGCTGTCTTTGCAGGCATCCCCAGAGTCTCCCTTGCAGCGTCCCCCTGAGCTCACCCCACTGCCAGCTCCTCTTGTCTCTACCTCTGCCATTTCCCAATGGAAGGAATTTCCCAATTCCCCAGAAATTGGTGGCACAAATTTCTTTCCGACCCATGCTTTTGCCTCCTCTCACAGCACTGCAAGTTGACAAGGATCTGACACAGGTTCTGAGAGCATTTACGGCAGAGCCTCTTCCCTTCCCAAGAAGGAAGCCTCAAAGAAAGTATCTATCTGCTCGGGTATTCCAGCTCTCCTGCGCCCCTAATTACAATTTCATGACTTAATCATGAGCTGCCTTTTCCTCGGGTCTGCTCATAACATCTTTCCTCTTTTCTGCTGTTGACGCGTGGGCTTTCCCTTTAATGTCTCGGTTGCTCAGCTCCGAGGTGAGTGATGGGACCGAAATACCTGATGACGAGCAGGGATCTTTCAAATTCCTTTTGAAATACACCTGGAAATTGGAAGCTCAGTTCTCAGATGGAAAGCTCGGCTGCCTGCCACCCGAGGGAGGCAACCAGGCACGAAGCAGGCGAGTGGCACAGATACAACACGTGGCCTCTGTCCTCAAGGGTCTCTGCACCCCACAGGCCAGCCCTGCTCTTTGCTGGGTGCCTCGGGACAGTATTTTCCTGAAGGCTCAAGCTTCCAGTCTTCTGATTATGAGAGACAGCTTTCATTAACTAAAATCGGCCTGAAAGCGTGAGGGCGATCAACAAAGAGATGCTACCGGCTGGAAAACTCTGAGGCAAAGATATATAACCCGATGTTGTCAAGCTTTTTGGCTTTAGAGGTCATGGTTTCTTTCTGAGGAAACCAGGGTGATGTTTTTGGTGTGCTACTCACAACTATTTGCAGCTGGATTTATGGTGAAGGTGTTTTTTCCTCTGCTTTTGTTTCTTTAGGATATACGTCCCTGTGAAAAGCCTTGCGTATTTGATTTTGAGAAGGCTTTTTGTCTTGTATGATTTTTACATTTGAGATGTGTTTTTTCTAAGACTGGGAGATTAGGATTTTTAGCCAAACTGCTTTGAGCACGGGGGTGGAGGCAGCCTGTTCCAAGTTGTCTTCTTCTGGTCACATCTTCAGCACCTGTGTGTTAAGGTCATTTCCCCTTTGGATGATCGGAACATGCAAAGAGCAAAAAAAAATAATATATATATATATATTTTTTTGACTTTATCATAGTGAGAAAAGAGAATGTGTCTAAGAGGAGAAGAAAGCAAACCCCGTCTATAACAGCTCCAAGCTAGGATGAAAAATGAATAAAATGAGCCCCCTTTATTTCCCACATGTCCTGCAGCAAAGATCTGCCTTATCTTTCTAAGAAAAAAAAAAAAAGATATAATTTTGTGTGTGTGTGTGTGTCTTCTCAACCCGTTTATCCAGCTCAGGTCTCCACACGTGGTAACGCTATCGGTGGACACGCCTGGGAGGCTGCCAGGGTGCTCGCTGGTGGCTGGGGAGATGCTGCTTGATGGAAAACCCTTCTCTCCTTCGCCACTTGTCATCCTGCCTGGGTTTGTCTGCTTTCACTGGGCTTGTGCAGCTCGGCCAGGCTCGCTTTGCCCTCCTGTGGCTGACAGAGGATGTTCAGGAGGATGCACCCTGTGGGTGCACCCAGCCACCAGCTGCCCTCGCACCTCACCCTTCGCTCACAGCATCTCCTTCGTGGCTGTGACCTGCATTTGGGGCTTGCTTCCGAGGGTCTCCCCTGGTCACTTTGCTTGAAAACAAAGCAGCTGCTGGTTTGTTTTCAGAATCAGATAAAATACATCGAGAGGGACGGGACCGGTCACTCCAATCAAGCAGCCAGGACTGCCAGGTGATGCTTTTCTGCTGAGAAATTGGTTTTCTGTTGAAAAATCGGGGGTGTTGAACATGCGAGTGCGAAATGGCTTCCAAATTTGTAGCTGCTGCGTGACAGCGTGACTCATTTGTGGGAAGGGGGAAGAGACTTTTTCCCTCATTGTCAAGTTTTGCATGCGAACGTAAGAAAATCTCACATTTTAATAATGATGAAGAGAAAATTACTGAGGGAACGGCTGCTGCTGATCTTTGTGTTTAACTAAGTGGACTCAGCAGGTACTTGTTGGCAGCGCTTCCCGTTTCAGGCTTGGCTCAAGGATATCATTGGGATATTTTGAAGTTTTAGGTGGCGAAAGTAGAAGGCAGTGTGAACAGATGCAAAATAACACTTTGTGAAGAAATAAGTCTTTAAAATACTGTAACTGGATCGGCAGTTCTCTGGTGCCTCATTTAAGATAGCTGAGATGTAAGCAGTTTGGGTCAG